TGGTGGAGTCAAAATCAACAACTCCGAAATATATATATTGAAAAAAGATTTATAATGTTGTTTTTCTTTTTGGCAATAAGTATAAAATGTTGAATTTTCTGCGTAGCATGGGTTTTTGCTTTTCTCTTTTAAGACCCACCACTGACCCGGAAATGACCGGAATTCAGGCAAGACTTCTATCATTACGGGTACTAAGACCAAGTAATGATATGCATTGATTAGATTAACAAAACAACTGTCGAGATTCTAGAATTATAGCATACAAATTAGTCTGCTATTATTCTCTAATCTCACCCCAGCCCCAAAAGTCTAGCGTAACTACCGATCATTTATCCGCGCATCACTTGGAAAGTGACCTACACTACTCTGACCTACTGGTGCTAATCTAATCTGACTGACATGATCAGACTGTTCAAGAAACTTACGAACAATATGACATGTTCCTAACAAAACAGCTTTTTGAATTTTGACAATTATTGAATCATTCAAATGCAAAGACTTTAAATTCTCAACTAAGCTATTTGGAACTACACCTACATTAGAGATAACTAGGGGTAAAATTGAAATTTTTTTAAGATTCAACATGGATTTCATTTCTATCGATAATTGTAGATATTCATATTTTGAAATCTTGGTGTGGTATGTTTGAATAATGTTGTTTGTGTTAGGAATAGCAATGTCAATGAGAATGGCTTCGTTCGTGTGTTTTTTGATAAGTATGATGTCTAGTCTGTTAGCTGTAATGTTTAAGTCTCTAAGTATTGTGCGATCCCAGTATAATTTGTATTTGTTATTTGCAAGGAACGGAGATGGAAAGTAAGTGTAATAGGGTGTCGTAACTTCGATTAAGTTCATAAATGTGGCTAATTCTTTGTGAATGATTTTGGCTGCGTTGTCGTGTCTAGCTTTGTAGTCAGTTTGTGCCAGGATGCTCCAGGAGGAGATTATGTGCTGGATCGTTTCAGGTTTTGCTTTGCAGAGGCGACAGCAGTCGTTTCTTATGTTCGGATCTTTGATGATGTATTTTCTGTAATTCTTGGTATTGATTACTTGGTCTTGAATAGCAAACACAAATCCTTCTGTTTCGGCATACAAACTTGATTTTTTTAACCAAATCAATGACATCTTCCTATTGACATGAGTTTCTTCTAAGTCTTTGTAGAATTTTCCATGTAGTTGTTTTTGTTTTAGCCCACTTATTATTTTGTCTATTGTCTGGGGGGTGTGGATTTCTTCGGTGTTCCACAGATTTAAGGGTGTGTGGTTCAAATCAGCTCTTGTGATGGTGCGAAACATTTCATTTCTTTCTGCTCGTTTCAAGAAATACTTCTTCAGATCTGAGATTTGTCTCTGATATAAGTTTTCTAAGTTCTGGAAACCCCTTCCTCCATTCTGTCTTGGTAATGAGAATCTTTCAATCGACAATTTTGGATGATGTCTTCTATGCTGTGTGAAGATTTTCCTTGTTGCGATGTTTAAATTTTCAAGATCAGTTTTGGACCATTTAATGACTCCAAAAGAATATGTTAGCAGTGGAACGCAGAATGTATTTACTGCTTTCATTAAATTTTTTCCATTTAACTGTGTCTTCAATATTAATTTTAATCTCGCTAGGTATTGATCTTTCTACTGCGTTTTCGTTTTGGTATGATTGATGTGGGAGAATTGACAGAAACCCAGATATTTGTATGTATCATTTCGTTCTTGGGCTTCGATTATTTCGCTATTCTGGGTTATATGTGGTACTTGGTGTTGGACGCCTTTTCTGATTGCTTGGATCTTACATTTCTCAATACCAAAACACATACCAATATCACCGGAAAATTGTTCAGTCAGATTTAATAAGTTTGTTAACTGTTTTTGTGTACTTGCATATATTTTTATGTCATCCATATACAGCAAGTGACTTAAGCAGAACCATAACGGGCTAAAAGAATCGCCTTGAAAAATTCCTCTTCGGATCTGACTGAATCATTTGTTCATTTAAGGTTATTAATATAATTTTATTGATTGTTTCGTTTTTATTATCCATACTATTGATTATTATTTACATATTACAGTATTTAGATTTATAAATTCTTTCCATCTCTGCCTTGTAAGTGCTCCTCTCTTAGGAATTGTAGTAATTTATAGTTGCTGTTATTTGGTTTACTGCACATATTGTTATAGACACATCCTATATCCCTAATTCCCTAATATGGCTTGAATAAATGTATTCCAATAATAAAATGCCCTTTAATCAATATCATTCATTTAATTAAAAGGGGGAATCAAATCAAAACAAGAAATGTCATCATTTAAGATATTTAAAAGGTGCTCTATTGTGTGGGTCATAAATTACAGCTTACAGCCTCAACTAATATTTTGGGTTGCGTAACTTACTAAAATTTGCCCCAAATGCATTTCAGTTTTTTTTCAATAACTAAAAGAAGTACAATTTTAGAAGAGAACGAAAAATGGCGCCTAAAGTAGAAAAAAATTCTCTATCAGCTCGATATTTTTTAAAAGCACACCGACTTATAGTTTTCCCTGAAAATCAGCTCTGGTTTTACGCACTTTATTTTTTATTTTAAAAACTGCTCGCCTTGCTCTTCAACTTGTTAAAATGAAGGCGCAAAATGTGTCGGCGTTTTGCCTTATTTCGGCATCTTTTAATGACTGTTTGGACGAGCCTTAATGTCAAAAGTATGGCAAGAAGATTAGTCACATTTGATAAGAAACGCAAAGCAACACCAAGCTTTTTTTTAATAGTGTAAGGTAATCCGTAAGTGTATAAGTGTTTTGTTTACAATTTAGTTGCTTAGGTTAAATGAAGGTTGTAGCATTGGATTTCAAAGTTCAAATTGCTCCTTACTCTAATAATTTTTTTTAAGTAAAGTAAAGTTTTTGAAGCGTTGATGTTATTAATTGAGAATATAAGGTTCATGTAATAATTGTTTATAATCCTATTGTATTTTCAGACACTGTTGTCATAAATTATCTTGGTTATGCGGTATTAAATATCACCAACGACTCTACGTTTTAATTGTGGAAGATTATACAATTATCGTCGAGTAGAAAGGAAATTCTTGGAAGCAATGTAACAAAAATAATTTTGAAGGCTACAATTTACAGTAATTTACAAATATGAGAAGAACTTCTTTACACAGGATGTGTAAATTTATAGATTGAAAATTTTCTCAAACTTGTAAATAACACATTCTCTATTTTATAATAATTTAGAACTTATGTTTAAGTAAACTTTTTTGCAGATTTGTTGGGATTTATTTTAATTATATGTCTCCCATCCACAGGATGCAAAATTGTTGTAACAAATTGCTTAGAGAGATAGAATTTGACATTCATACAGATACCAGTACTAAGATAAAAAATATAATAAAACAAAATATTGAATCAGGTAATTTGACAGTGACTGATGTTTAGATAATAATGACTGATTAGGTCGAGGTTGTTAGACTTTTCTCCTTCTTTTGTTTTACCTTAATAGTAATTTTTGTTAGTTAAATTATGTTAGTCTAGTTAAGGATATATTAGTGTTAAAAGACTCCATAATTGGGCTAAATGCCTGTCGGAGGTTTCCTAATAATAATAATAATAATAATAATAATGTACAAAAAATGTACAGGTAAATTTTAATAATATTTGTCTCAGTTAGATAATATGAAAACATTGATAAGTTTCAAATTAAATCACTATGGGTAAATAACTTGAAGTACCTTTCAATTGTTACACGTTTATCAATCACGTCAGGGGAATTACTATGTTTTGTGTGAAATTTTGTGTAGAGTTGAGAATATTTAACTATGACAATTTTTTACATCCAAACTGTTATTGAAAAACCCTTTGTGTTTATATATCATTGTTCTCATTTTTAATGAGGAACTTAAAACTGTAAAAATATACATTTTGGTTTATTATGTTAAAAAATAAATATCTATGGCGTGTAATTTTCCAACGAAACACCAAGTTTATTTGACAACAATTTTAACCATAAATGAGTTTAAGCCATTCATTACACTGAGTCAAAAATTTGTTTTATTGATTCATGAGAAATGAGTAACATGCCACCGTCCGATGGTTGTAAAATTTATACATGATTTATCACATATGATAATAGTCACAGCTTCCCGGCTTAATTTTATGGCACATATTTTAATGATCGATTTTGATTATCACAGATCCTTATCTCTACATTTTGTTGCAATGAACTGGATACATTTCCATGTCGAACTACTTTAGGTTTGTACCATTCCTAAAAGAAATGTTTGTTTTTCTTCCCTGCTCAAAGTTAACACACACCAAATAGGTAGTTATTTTTGCCAATGTTTGTTAGTCTCTTTGTTAACTTGACCAAATTATTTATGAACAAAGTAAAATCCAAAATGAAAACGAGAAATAAAAATCTGACGTGTTCTGGCCATTTAAGGAAAATAAAACACTATGAAAGTAACTGTTAATATTAGTAATTTTTATTAAGTCGCTTTTTAAACAATAGTCATCGGATTGTGTTTGTTCTCATTTCTAACACACCTCCTATGCAAAATTGGTTCTGTAAGCATTTTTCCTAAAGTCTATTATATAGTACTTTTTTTTCGTTTTCAGTACATAACTGGATTCAAATTAAGTTAAATAGAGTTTTGTTACGTTTTAAAAACGTGTAGGCAAAATTGTTCAAAATGAACAACATTTTGTGTCAGATATTCTCGCTTTTGGAGAAATAATCATTGCAGAATAACAATGCAGCTTTGGAGAAACAATTTGTTACACCAAAAATTAATGACGTGATAATTAGTTCTTTCGTAATACAAATTTTCTAAAAAACACTTTCAAATAGATGTAATTCCGATATCAGATGAATCATCAAGTACATGATATTAACGCACTTTGAAAGATGTTTAAAATATTACGAAAAATTCTACGTACGGTTACACACGTAACAGAAATATTTATTGGAGATGGATCTTGTCAGATTCTTATCATTACCCCCAGTTTTTAGATAACGGATAAAAGTAGAATATATATTAATTTCAGAGAGCAGGTATTTTACTAATCTTTATATCATCAATCACAACGAAACATAATTAACTCTAGGTAACGTAAGCCTGATTATATAGATAAATGTATTTACTAGTTCCTCTCTGCACATTATTTGCAGACCAATAATTTTAAAGTTTTAGGCTAAAATGAAAATGTTTCTGAAGACGCTATTTCACATTTTGTTGTTCCTTGGTGTTTTCAGCAGCGAAATAATTAAATTTGAAAATGAAAATCATATTTTGTGTGTCACAGATGACACAGAATCACTAATGTACTTAAAACCACCATTAGTAACGAAAACGAGAAACACATCAATTTTAATGGAAAACGACGTAATATGGGATGACTGGTCTTTAAAATCGTCGACAGAAGTCGTAGTACCAGCTGTTTTGGATAAAAGATGGGAAGGTAGGTAGTTTCATCTTACATCAGTTTTTGTGTGTTTAATTTGGCTACAATGATAAACTGTTTATTTTACAGATCTACAAACGAGTTACACTGATTCTTTCCACTACGGATCAGTGTCATCCATATCATACTCAGTACCTGGTGAGACTAATCTCACCGTAGTCACTACCAATCCTCCATCAGCTTTAACAAAAAAAGCAAGGGATATTTCTATCGACTGGATTACCTACACCAACATGCCTAAAGTGAATGAAAATGCAACTGACTTTGTGCAATTTCAAATTAATGTTACTTCTTCGGAAAAAACTTACTTTAAAATACATGATTGCAAGTACTAAAAGGCATATTTCGGATACCTTAACAAGTTTTTTTTCCTTTTCAGATAAACTGAGATGGGCCAACACTGTTTCAAAAACACCGACACGTATATCGATCTCTCAAAAAGAAACGTCTTGTTTTATAGTGTACGGTTATGTTTGTTTTTATTGTATTTTACAAGTTAATATAACAGGCCAATCTGTACAGTCCTTCTCTGGAAAAAGTCAAAAATCCCTAGGTCGATGGCAATATCTTAAATATGAACCGAAAACTGATGTTGAAATAACATTCTGGAGGGAAGCCGCAAATGGACGTACTGGAGGACAGTGGGCAGTGGATATTAGACAGTGTCCACCCACAGTAGACAACAAAAGTAAGTTTTCTAGTGTATTAAGATTTTAGCTAAGATGGTAAAAATGCTTTTTGCATTAAATCATCTCTTTAATTTATTATAAGAAAAGAGTTAAGCTAGTTGCACGAAAATTATCCTTACCTTTTTGTAGCAATTTATGAGGTATCTTTGGAAGACGATGTGCAACAAGGGGAGGAACGTCGGTGCGTTGCTGGTACGATAATAACGAAGCAAAACAATATTAGACAATCTCCAAGTGTCAAAATAAATGACGATGCATTTAGTTGCAATCCTGGAACCGTAGGACGGAATTGTGACATTAATTGCACAAATTTCTTGGGATCAGATAAAAGTTATTGTGAGCAACATAAAATCTGTGATGATACTTACTCAGTTTCTGAATGTTTTTGTTCCTGGGGCTACGAAGGAGAAACGTGTAATAAAAGTAAGTACACACACCAACAAAAATCCTATGTCCTATTGTAGAACATTATTGCCTTCAACATTCACGGTTTAACGAGAAGGACGACACTTGTTTGTAGTTTGTTGTTTAACTAAATAATTTACTTATTTTTAGCATGTTCGAACGGAAAATGGGATTTATCTTGCCGTGCCACATGTAAAAATTGTGGTCTGTGTAATGGGAAAACTGGACAGTGCACTAGCTCCTCGCTAAGCAATTTTAGGACAGGTATAATATTTGAAATATCAAATATTCCTAATCATAGTAAATTCATTTTTGCTTTTTAGCCGGAGGACTACTTTTTTTGGGAATAATATTTAAATTTTTGTAAACTTGTATTTGTCAAACTAAATATGCGTTCAATGTATTTTAGTATTATAACCCTGAATGAACGAAATAAATATTTGTAGTAATTTAGTGTTTCATATTATATACTACCCATGATAAAACCATTCGGTTACTTTTTCTTAAAAAAAAAAATTAGCACAAATGCCCAAACATAACGGCGTGGCGTTAAGTGAGTAATCAGATGAAAATTTAGAAACTCTGTAGTGGCATTTCGTTGAATTTTGGTTGAATTAGTTATCCTATGCTGTTGATGCACAAGCAAGCAAACAGAGATTCCGTTATAATAACTTTAACTGCAGTTTCGCAGTCATCGAATAATATTTTGACTAATGATTATTATTAAACTACGTGGTTACAGTATTGTGAGGGTCTGTGAATATTCATGAATATAGAAACAAAAATTGAGACAAACTTAATAGATTATGTAATTGAAATAAATCAAAAAGCCGCGGAGACATTTATAAGCAAACTTTTTGTTTGACCAAGGTGATTAAGAGGGAAAAAAACTAATAAATACTTGCAAATTAACAAAATTTTAAAATCGAAAATCTGTAAGACGTAAACAATAAAGAAGATGTCTGAGAAAAGGGCGAAACATTAGCAAGGGGGGTGAGAAGATTAAAAATAATGTAGCGCGTTGTTATAACCCAAACATCCCACCTTAAGTTGACATGTGAACAAAATTTTAAAAAGCCCGCGAAAGTTTGAAAAAAAAAAAATTTGGCCGTGGTTGTGATCGTCTAACAAAATGGAACCCTACGCAGAAAAAAAAGCTGCGACTAAGTTGTGCCGGCTGAAGACACTTCTTAATGCTCACCTACAAAAAAAAACTTGCCTAAATTTGAATGAAATCAAATTAGTGGATACAAATACACAAATCATTACGCACGTGTGGCGTCAAATTTAGAATCACGAGCGGAGTTTGGGGCTCCCGGTTGTGGCTGTTTTCCTACCCACGACGGTGATTCTACCCTATCGGCAAGCACATGTCGCCTAGTACCCCTCAATCACGAAGAAACATGCCGCGCTAACAAGCCGTTACGGTCGCAAACTCGTGGTTCGAAATCTCGGCTATTGAAAAGAAGCCGCGAACGTCACGTCATCCCAACCGCTCCCCTGACTTCTATTCAAGATGTGCGTGTTTTGTGTAGATAACGCGATCGCCAGCTCGACAAGGAACCCCGCACTCCGCTTCCGCCATGTGTTTCTGTGTTATTTACCTCAATTCTATTTAAATGTTCAATTGCCATGGCTCTGATATTAAACTACAACCGAACAAGTGTTAAAGTTTCAAAAAGAACAATAAACAACATTTAAATTCGCGATACAGTCTCGTGAAATTTGAAACAGCAAAGATTAAGTTTGGACATCAGACAATTTATAATGGAAACATTAATCAACAAAATATTTACATGTAAAAAGAAACAAGCAAACATTTATAAAAACACAAAACATCTGGTGGTGTGAAGTAAAAAAAAAAATTACCTTTGGTCAGGAACTGCAGAGCATGAAAATTTACATTCAATTTAAATTGTACACCAAAAAAAATTACTGAGACTAAAATTGTGATATAGGAAAAAATTGCAAAGCTAACAAAATCACATGAGGTTAATATTTGCCGCACTTTATCAAGGATTCAAACAAAGACTTTATATGATGTTAAATCATGCATGATTCAAGTCAGTAGTTGCTTAAAACAATTAGCTTTGAGAGTTTATATCGTGGACTATTCCCAAATTATCCCAAACAAACACATGATAAATAAACACAAAATCCATGCCTCGTCGCGAGAAATACCTCTCGATGATGTCCAGATGATAACTGCCTAAGGGGAAAAAAATTAATCCCCCCATCCCTCAGTTCACGATATTATGGAACCCTTATATATAACTTGATAAACAAAGGATGAGTCCTGACTAAGTGAGTTTATGGAGAATTAAGCATTTGGCTTGACCTTCTAAGCCGGAATAATATGAAAATCACCACGGGAAATTTTTTTCTTAGCAACTAAAATCAACAAGTGGTGGTTTTTAATTTTGACAAAAATTATATCTTACACTATGTTCATGTCGTTACAAAAATAGATCACAACGTTTTATTTTTTTAAATGATATGAAATATCAAAGCGGCCTTTGAAATTGTATATCTGGGTGCGTCTTGAATATTTTAGGGGTGGTGTTTCTCAGTAACTTTGTATATTATATCCAACTAAGCTTTAAATATTAAGAATGACATATATATGTTGTCGTAGAATAATATTAGGCTCTACATTAAAACACACTGTTTGCTTGTTTCAAGAATTTGTTAGATGTGTGTAAATGCGTCTGGTATGTGTAATCAGAATCACTAATATAATCAACGTACACTCAACAAAATACATCTAATGCCACTAATGAATCTCTTAGCTCAGCAGCGTATACTGTCGTTACGAAAATTACTGAAACATATATTTTCTTTTTTGTCTCACTAGGTAATGGATAATATTATATATTTCACGTAAAGTAGGGTCTAGTTGTAAGCAATAAATTCAATAGCGGATAGAGACATAATAATTTCGTAAGCTAATCACATGCAATAATAAAATAAAATGCAGTAGTGGCTAACTATGAGTTAACTCCCGTTTCAATGAAAATTATTTCGTAGAAAAGTGTAAGAATCAATAAACCTAAACAAAATGCTTCACATTAGTACGTAAACAGAACTTCAGTGCTGCAAGTTATGCCACTAGTCGAGAGATAACCGCAATAAAAAGTGTTTATTACAAATAAAAATTAAATCTTTTATAGTTTCACAACTGCAAGACTCGTTTTGTTTAAGGATAAAAGAAGTTCAGAATATTTTATTCTCTTTAATCTCACTGTACATAACTGCAAATAAATTTTTATTTAAAATTTCTTACAATGGGAAAGAATTTAATATGTAAAGTAACTCGAAGAAATCTGCAATTTAGTTTGATGTGGCCAAAATTTTCAGAAGAACTTAATCCCAGTTACTGGCATTACTTTAGAGTTTCAATATTTTTATCCTCATGTGGTGCGCTACTTCTAGCAATAATGATACATATTATTATGGCCATAAAATGTAAGTATTTGCTTTTTTTTCGAAACTTTTAAATATCTGAAAATTTTAGATAAAATTTATCAGCATTTAAGCGGAAATAATGCCGGATTTACCTCCATGCTTGGCATGATATACATGAGTATAATTTATGTGCATCATCAACCAAAAATCGCTCTTTTGCTTAAAGATTTATCTAATTTCGGAAAATATGGGAAACCGTCAGGTTTTGATAAAGTAAACAAAAGGCTAAATTTCTGGGCACCCGTGCCATTTATGTACCCAACAGTAGGTGTACTTTTTTACAGCTTTACTAAATTCAAAAACAAGTCCATTTGTGAATTGGCAAATGAAGGGAAAGCAGTAAAGGATATGTGTGGAGTTATGTATTCATTTTGGATTCCATTCGACATAAACTATTTTCCAGTGATTCAAATAACTGCCTTGTGTGTGGCCACGTTGGTAATATTGCTAGTAAGGCTACGTACAGGAATTGCGTTTCAAGCATTGGAAATCATCCAGCATGTAATTTTAAGAATCAGGCAACTAAACGTCATGATCGAAGACATTTTTAATGGTAATGATGATCTCGTAACAAAAAGAAAAAAATTAACGAATTGTATTTTATATCATCAGGAAATAATAGAGTGAGTTTTGCATAAACATGCAGCGTGCTTTTAAAAAATATGTTTTCAGTATGTCTGAAAAGTTAAACAAGTATTTCTCTGGCATTATGGTAACACATTTTGTAATGACCTCCATAATCTGTGGATGTATAGAAAAGGAAATCATTGATGTGAGAAAAATAAAACATATTGTCATAACATTTGTGTATATATTATATTTTCAGGGAACATATTACGCCGCAACTCATCTTATTTCTTGGATTATTACTCTTTTTCTCGTATCGTTCGGAGGTCAAAAACTTATGGATGCAGTAATTGACCCACTTGTCATGTTTAAATTTTAATTTAATAAATTCTATTTTAGAGCCAATCTGTAACAGATACTCTTGTGGCAACCGACTGGTATTCCGGAGACATTTATTTACAGAAAGACATCCTCTTCATGCTTCAAAGATCACAAAAATATATGTGCGTTCATGTAGGTTCATTTGGGCCATTGTCTTATGAATTCTTTCTCGGAGTATGTGGAAAAGTTAACATTTCTGTGTAAGATAAATGTTTTTTTTCATTTTTAGGTTATAAAAATGTCTTATTCCATCCTGGCTATGTTAAAGTCTTAATTTATTTATAAGCTGAATAAAAGAAGATGCACTTTTTGTACGATCTTTTAACTATTATAATCTTATAAATTACAACTTCAAATTTCCCAGGTTTTTTTTTACATGCACAGTGTTTTAGAAAACGGTGCTCTGAAGTATGTATTTGAAAGTTGAGAGTACCTCACGAGAATAGCTTATCATTACTCGAAGAGGCTTCAGAAGTAAAATAAAAATTACTAGAAAACTTGGAACATTTTTTCACACAATTTGTAGTATCTTAAGGTGAATTCACGAGCCATTATGTAAAAGCTTGTTGGTTTATAAAATTGGAAATAGCATTTGCCGTTCAAAATTTTGATGCCGTGGAATCGAATTGTTGGTGGGTTCGATCAGAAAAATTTTTGTACTTTTACCTACACGATATTCCTAACGTAGATATAAAATTTCCCAAGAATCTGTCCTGTAGTTTTGGAGACTGCCTAATAAAATATCGACACAGATGGCAGACAGGCGGAAACAAGAGACCTAATTTTTCATATTTTACTACGGACTACGCTCGGGAAGTAAAAAACTACATAATTAGTCTAACTATTAGAAAAGTAACTAAGAAAAATTATCATGCACATTTTGCAATATTAGCTTAAGCGGCGACACATAAATATCAAGTTCTTCGCCAAGGCTGTTAACGATCTGTGGCAATTTATATATTGGAGTATTGAAAGGAACATTTAGACGAGCTCTGGGACAATTAAAAGTACAGTGATAGCGACTATGTAAACGGGGTACATTGATAGATAGCCAGCCAATTACGTGGGTGGAATCTATATTGTTATGAAGGACCTTTATGACGAAAACTTCTAAAGGGAAAGGTACCTTTGCTAAGATGAAATAAATGTTTTGCCATTTTTCGCTAAAAGTTTTCAAGATTTAATTTTTGATAAGCATAATAGGAAAACCATATCAGGGAACAGTACTCTAACTTGGAACGTATAAGTGCGATATATAAAGTCCTTACGGCTAGCGAATTACTCAAGCATCTACATGTTCTGACAATAAGATCTAAAAGTTTAAGAAAAGACGCTACTAGATTATTTATATGTGGGGGGAATGATAATATAGTGTCAAATGTTACACCTTAATCCTGGATGTCAGTTGTACGTTGCAAGTTTACATCTTTTAAACAGTAGTAGAAGTGAACTGAGTTGTTGGTGCGCGTAAATGTTAAATCTGCACTCTTCTTCATGTTCACCACAAAATTATCAATCTTCAAAACCATTGACTACATTGAAAATCTTTATAGCGTCTGCATAAAATAAGACCCTATTGCGTATCACTGAGTGTAAATCTTTGATATATATTAGAAATATTAATGGTCCTAGAGTTGAGCCTTGAGGTAAGTGCAATGTATGAAACGCCTTAGACACGTCCAAGTATATACAGGGTTAGTTACGAGAGAATTACTTCTGAAAATTATTTTTACGCAACCCAAAATACTAATACCCTGTACCACTTGATATTATCTAAATTTAAAATGAAATGCCTAATCTATGATTGCTTTGACTTTGGCAGTGTCACTTTGACGTTAATTAATTAAAAAAAATTTTTTTCATCGTTGACTCGCCTCTAGAGCTCCATTGGATCGACGACATACAGTCAGATCAATCTGGGCTATACTGAAGCCATAAGTGCTCTACTAATGTTGTTCGCCGCTAATGTACATGTGTTAATTCACCATGTCTGCGTCACCTAGAGCCTCTTCGAAGTGCAAATCTGCAGCCTCTGGACTTCTTCGGCCATCCATTTACAAAAAAGCCGTAGCATCCCCCCAAAATGCCCAACATTTTCAACAGATTAGTAGTTAAATTGTTTGCTTACTTGTTTGAGTTTGTGTTGTAATCTTTGAATAAAATGCCGTAAAAGAAATTTTTAGAAATAATTTTCTCGTGATTAATCGGTTGCAAAAGATCAAGAGGCACACTGACAAATTTATTAGCGGCGCCGGAGGAGATTTCCGACTGGCTGCGGTACCACCATGGACACTCGCGTAACCTCCTTTTCCACAATTGTCAAACTCAAAGCAATCATGGATTAAGCATTTCATTTTAAATTCAGTTAGTATCAAATGGTACATGGTATTCGTATTTTGGGTTGCGTAAAATTAATTTTCAGAAGTAATTCTCTCGTGACTAACCCTGTATGTTGCAGTAAAAAATCCTTTTCAGTTAAAACGCGTTTTTCCTAAATGCCCTTGTTACAACTAGAATTTACTGCTGTTGAAAAATGTATATCAGTTAAAACTAATTCTAACTGGACAAAATATGTTTCTACTGATAGGTCGCGAAAATGTTAGAGTTAAAACCCGTTTTCACACTAGTGAGCCACCTGTATAAGCAAATCTAAAAAATATGAATGCAATGATAACGCACAAGTAAAAACTCATGATATTTTGCACATTTCGGGTAGATTTAGGAATTTAACTCGTTACTATGGAAATTTGCAATTTTACACCTTTAAATTTCACAAGTTTTTACAAGATTTTTTTATTTATTTATTTGTAGATTTGGTTGCATCGACAGTAGGTCATTAGCAACCTTATAGGGTGGTAAAAGGACAAGATTAATAGTGGCAAAATCAGTTTTATCTTAACAAGTACTAGGCCCGCCCACCCGCCCCCTATATTCTCAGAGGATATGTCATTTGTCGAAATAAGTCTTATCTTAGCAAGTACTAGCCCTACCCACTCACCCTTTACTTTCAGTCTTATCTTACCAAGTACTAGCACCGCCCACCCGCCCCCTCTTTTTTCAGACGATATGTCATTTTCCAAAATAAGACTTGTGTTAGCAAGTACAGCCCCGCCTACCCGTCCTTTATTTTCTCAGAGGGTAGTACATGCTAATACTTGCTAAGACAAGTCTTATTTTGGCAAATGACAAATCATCTGAGAAAAAAGGGGCGGGTGGGCGGGTCTAGTACTTGCTAAAATAAGACTGATTTTTCCCCTATTAAACTTGTAAAAACTTGTTAAATGTAAAGGGTGGAACAATACTGTCAGCAGAAACAATTTAAACAAATTCGAATTTCCGATTTTTTTTTTTAAATTATAAATATAACATGTATATTTATCTACTATCTATAAGTCGAACTTTTTACTTCCCGAGCGTAAGCAAAGGAAGTATTGTAATCGAGTCCGTCGGCCGACTCTCTACTTTTACGTTTTCTCGATCTTTCATGACCCCTAGAAGACGAAGAAATAGGTCTCCCATTTCCGTCTGTCTGTCCGTCTGTCCGTCCGTCTGTCCGTCCGTCTGTCCGTCCGTCTGTCCGTCCGTCTGTCCGTCCGTCTGTCCGTCCGTCTGTCCGTCCGTCTGTCCGTCTGCCGTCCCGGATTTTTATTAGACAGATAATCTCCGAAAGTACTCGACCGATTGTTGTGAAATTTTGTACTTATATTAAGAATATCATGTAGATGGTAAAACGCTAACCAAAATTTGTCTAATCATCCCCACCACTAATGCGATGACGTCACTTCAAAATTGTACATAGTAAATGGGTTTTCAATTGTATAAAATAACATAGTCCTACACATGTAGTTTACAACTCCGAATCGACTTTTCACCCGAAACGTCCAGATTTTTGGAAAAAAAATCAAAATTATAAAACAACATTTTGAAATTTAATTTTTAATCTGCTAACCAGAATGCTTTGAAATGTTGCAGATGTTTTAAGGCTATAAAGAGCATCATAAATCTTTAGTCAAAAAATATTTGCTTACCCCCTCCAAAAACTTGATGACGTCAGCTCAAAAGTTTGTGGAATAAATCATATCTAAAATGTACAAAATATGATGAGTCTGTACTTGTGATCTATCACTCCATTCATATTTTTTGGATTTGCATATACAGGGTGACTCAAAAAAATTAATGAATGCGTAAATTTATTTTACTGATTTACTCAGAAACTACAAAACCGAATGCTTTGAAATCTTGCAGATGTTTTAAGGTTATAAAGAGCATAATAAATGTTTAGTCAAAATATATTTGCTTATCCCCTCCAAAAACTTGATGACGTCAGCTTGAAAGTTTGCCGAATAAATCCTATCTAAACTGTACAAAATATGATGAGTCTGTACTTGTGATTTATCACTCCATTGATTTTTTTTTGGATTTGCATATACAGGGTGAGTCAAAAAAATTATTGAATGCGTAAATTTATTTTATTGATTTACTCAGGAACTACAAAACCGAATTCTTTGAAATCCACTGCGAAAAAAAAACATAATAGGCATGCAGTCGTCACGTTTCCGACAGCGAGGGAAGTACTGTCTAAACTCTTTAGACCAATTTTTTCGGTGGCAAGTGAGGATTCGACTTAAGGCAAGTCGACTGTATTGTCGCCCTGGCACAACTGTGATATTCGCCCCGCTCAAGCGAGTCGATTCCCTGTCACTCGTCTGAAAACGGGTTTTTCTCTCGACCAATCAGTCGAAACGCGTTTTGTCTAGTTAGAACTAGTTTTAACTGAGATTCACTTTTAAGCAGCAGTAAATTCTAGTTGTAACAAAGGCTTTTAGTAAAAACGCGTTTTAACTAGGGAAAACGTGTTTGACTGAAAACGGGTTTTATACAATCATCCAGCTGCTTCTTATCAAGGTGTTTCGCTACGAATTGTGTGAAGCATACAATATTTGTTAGAGTTGAACGCCCAGGGAAAAAACCATGATAATACGGAGAAATCATAGATTTTATTGACGGAAATACTTTATTATAAATGACTATTTCAAAAACCTTAGATAAAGCTGAAAATACAGCAACAGGCCCGTAATTTTCGATACGGCTATTGTCACCAGACTTCGAAACCGGACATATTTTGGCGAATTTCCAATCATTAGGAAATGTTTGAGTTTTCAGCGGCAGGTTCAACAAGTAAGTTAAGGGTTCGACTAAAATAGCACGCCAATATCTAAAGGTCCCTTCCAATGTGAGAACACCACGTATTCAAGTTTTTCCACACCAACAAAGTCCCAAAATTTCGTCGGATCCTTACACAGCGATTGGCTTCACTGTTCAGATAATCGTTGTAGTCACGGTTAGTTAGCATCTTTGTCACTTTTCGTAATCTAATAAATTCATCTTTATAATTGATAGTCCTGCATTTTTTGTATTTTCGCCTAAAATTATTCTTAAGCTTAAGAGTGGTTCTTTATTCAGTACTAGACCACTTGGGAAAGTTTTTGCTGCCAGATGTAAATTTGGGTACGCAAGAATAAAAAATGTGATATATTTTATCATAAAAAGTTTTACATGCCAAATTAACATCTGTAAGATTATATAATAAAATAAGCCATAGTATAGAACTGGAAAATTTGTTTTGCGAAAATTTTAGTTATTATGACCTGAATATTTTGAAAATTTTACAAACCGCGCTATTAAATATGTTGTGTTTTCGGCGTTGTGGGAATAAACTTTCTATAAAATACGAAATATTCGACAAGTTTAATATTTAATTTTGTGAATTTGATTTTTACTTCCTGAGCGTAAGCAAAGAAAGTATTGTAATGGAGTCTATCAGGGGGCGACTGGCTACTTCTATGTTTTCTCGACATTTCATGAGCTATTGAATATGAAAAATTAGGTCTCCTGGTTCAGTCTGTGTGTCGTCTGTTCAGATTTTTATTAGGTAGATAATCTCCAAAACTACCGGACTGATTGTATTTCATATGTATGTTAACTAACCAAAACTTGTCCAGTCTCCCTATCAATGTCATAACATCTGAAAAATGTTTATAATAAATTTTATAAAATAGCATACTATTGTATATGTTTTATTAAATATAAATTAGCAAAATCAAATTTTTTAATTTTTCAAAGAAAGGGTATTTGTGGCACTGTACTTTTTAAGACATATGTTAATACATATGTTTTGTCTTTGCCCGTCTCTAGTCTAATGAGTTTTCCAAAAAAATGTAGTATATTTTGCGAAAACGCATTTTGATTCATTTTCCTTTGTATTTAGGGTAAATGTGTACAAGAGTGCGAATATGTATAAGAGTACGCACTGATGATTTCTGCTTATTAGTGCAATCTGGGTAAGATGAAGTTATACCATTAAGAATCTAATGCTAAACCTGAGATAAAGGTGCAAAAATGATTTGTATATAGTTTATAGTTTGGTCGTACTGACGATTTTATGTTCACACGTTGTGCGGATGTAATTTTTACCACTCATAGTTTTGGTTTTTTGTAAGGTACGTACCAGTTCTTTTATTTTACAGTAATAATTTTCATTAGCTGTAACTTTTAAGGTGTCGTTATACACTAACAGTTTTACACTTTCTATACGCGATCTAAATGATCTGATACGACACCTGGTGTCAAAAATGTGCACTACTCAGGAGCACAGTGAAAGATGAAAATACTGTTGGTTGTACAGTGAAATTTCGTTGTTTTATGTTAAACCAACAAAATTAAATAAGTTGGTCCCAGTATTCCTGAAAAAATGACTGTTAACAATACAAATTGTTGTGTTTTTCGCTGCCATAGCAAAAACAATAGAAACAGTCTCTTTTCATAAATTCCCCATAAAAAACAAGTCATTTGTTTAAATGTTATGAACAGGTAAGTATTCATATCAACAGTAAATTTAGTTTAATCAGTATTTAACTAAATTGTTTTTGATTATCAGTATAATATGTATATATATATTATATTTTTAGGTTAGGAATCAGGGAAAAAAATGGACAGATATAAGACTTGGATGGTAAAGCTAAATATGGGAAAACCAGCAACAAAGCACATGAAAGTGTGTTCACTACATTGTAATCAGGATGATTTCATATTGAGGATTTGATTTGAGGACCCAGGTGGGTTAGTTAGCTTCGTGCTTGCCCACTACACCTTGGGTCGTGGGTTCGATTCCCGCCTTGCCTTTTGGGTGTTGTGTATGTCATGTTTCCTGTAATTGGGCCTCCAGCTTGTTAGAGACATCATAGGATAAAATAAATAAAAATATTACCTGGTAAGTACAGATTTGGGTAAATGTTGTTAATGTATAATAGACAATAAATGAAATATTGTAGATGTAAGTATCATTACTAAAGAATTACTACCTAGAAGGCCCAAAAATCGAGACTTTAAAGCAGTCAGAAGTACAACAATGAGAAAATCTGAAGGTTACATAATTTCAAGTACAGATAGTACTGATGTAAATTGCTTCGACAGCAGTCAGTTACATCAAAAAACTGTTTCAAGTATGTATACATTTGATGATATTTAAAAAATACAGATTATTTTCTAGCATTAGAAATGGAAACCGTGCAGGCTTTGTTACATTTACAAAATTCACAAAAAAAGGATAAAAATATTCAAGTGACAAGTGGAGATTTAGTGGCACCTTTTATAAGTACACTTAAATCTGATAATGATTTAAATACAATGGCTGGAATACCATCCTTTCTGTTATTTAATGCTATTGTTGCAAATTGTGAGATGTTTGGAAAATTCTGTAATAAACATAAATTAAACTTGAAAGAACGTGTTCTGTTAACTTTTATGAAACTGAAAAATACATTTTCTTATGCTGTTTTAGCAGTTTTGTTTAAAACGGTGACAGCAATGACCTGAAATATTATTCATGCTTTATTATTTTATTATTATGCATTATTCCACTCATACATAGTATGAAATGAACACTTAATTTAAAAAACAATAATCGCTATAATTAATAAAGTTTTCACAGAAGTTTTAACACCACATGATTTAGCATGTGTTCACTTAAAAAGTTAAACAAAGGGTTAATAACATGAGAACTACAAAAAAAACTGACACAAACAACGAAACAGGCTGTAAACTGAACAAATCCACTACAAAAACGCTCGATTTATTAACACAACACACTTTTTTCACACGATGGACACTTAAGACTTGCCATAAAGGATACGTCAAATATGCCTTAGAGCGGCCATGTTGCAGTTAACAGTGGCGCCCCCAACGGTCATTTAGTTCGCGTATCCATCAAAAGCTTTCAACTTTGAAAACATTAGGTTATGTACAAATGTACAAGAGTGCGCAGCGAGGTATTGTATAAGAGTGCGCATTGCTTGCGATATGTAGTCTAATAGTCTTGTAGATACATATCATACGATAATGAATTATTTAACTCTACTACTTTGTACTGCTTCTCAAGTTGTGTGGTGGTGGTTAGGGTGATTTTTTTTTTAATTTTTACTTCCTGAGCGTGTTGTAATCGAGTCCGTCGACCGAACTTTCTACTTTTACGTTTTCTCAACTTTTCAAGACCCCTAGCGTACGGAGAAATAGGTTTCCCGTTTTATGTGTAGTCTGTAGTCACTTATTCCCATTTATTTTAACCTTAGAAACAAAGATTTTTTCATAAAATGTAATGCGCACTCCCTAAGCGTCCAAATGCGCACTCTTGTGCAATGAACTGTCTAAGAGTGCGCATTTACACATCTTGACAAAAGTTGAAATTACTCTTAAAATATAGTGGTCTTGGGACGTACAATTAAATATATCTGGTCTCTAAACATGTATATGACGAACCCATATCATAAAATTTGTCTATCCAAAAAAATTAAAAAGTTGTTGACAATTTTACACTATTAGTAACAGAAGTGAGCTTAGGAAAGCGTAAAAAAATTTCCAATGTGTTATTTATATTTATTTTTACGTATTCAATAGCAGTAACACGTATTTAAAACAACAAGTAATACTTTGTTTGTATTATTTGTTCGTTATAAAAATTGCATTCATTTATCAGTAACTTCTAAACGAAATAAAATCTAATTGGTTAGAGATATCGGCAAAGTTGTGTAAGGTTCATCTGGCAACGTTCTAAATTATCTATGAGATTCTTCTTTCCGTCGCCTTCTATCGACTGGTAGATTTAAGAACAGATTTGTTGCTGTTGTGTAGGTAGTCTATGCGAGCAATTGGGGTCTAAGCTATTCGACGGCGTTTGACGGCCAAATGTTGATTCACCATCTCTTATTCGCCGGCCTTCGGCGTGTTCGCTCCAAACAGTAGAATGGGTCTATCTGTATGTACTTAATCAATGGACACCATTAGTCATTAACTCATTACCAGTCTGTAGGATTTCGGGAGGAGTTAACGATTCTTCAACATTCATTTTCGTGTGCAAGCAAACAAATCACTTGTCACTTGAAACTGACATTGCTTTGCACTTTCTGTAAATTGATCGTTAATGATATACACCCAACCAACAGTACAATTTCATAGCAGTCTTTGATATTTACCTCGATATCTATTTTAAATTAAATATAGTTAGCCCTTCGGGTTTGATAATTTAGAAATAAATATTCGTTGTAAGGTTAATATCAAAAACAAATAAATTCAAAAAGGAGATCATTAGGGCATCTCTTCTTTGGATAATGTTCTATATAGAACCGTAAATCACTCGCCATACATCAAAATCACACCAGTCCTTTCACAGTTTGAACACGAATTGATGCAGAGTATCAATTCTGAATAAATGTGAGTTTTAACATGACAGTATCTTACGCTATGTCCACGTTATTACACACAACAGATAACTATATTTTACTTAAAAAAAAAATGGTACGAAATATGAAAAATGGCTTTGAAATTGTATTTCTGGCTGTGTTTTAAACATTTTAAGAGTGGAACTTTTCGTAAATAACTTTGTATACTATATATACCTTAACTAAGCTTTAAATAATAAGTGTGACATATTTAGTCCTGGAATAATACTACGCTCCACATTAAAACACACTGCTTGCTGGTTTCAAGAATTTGTTAGTTGTTTGTAAATGGAGCAGGTATGTGTATCCTGTAATCACTTAACCAGAATCACTAATCAACGTACACTCAACAAAGAACTTGTAATGATGCTATTGAATCTCTCTGTTCTCTCACCAGCGTAAACCGTCATAATTCGAAAAATTACTGAAACATATATTTTCGTTTTTATCAATGGATAATATTATATATTTCATACAAAGGGACTGGTTGCAAGCAATAAATACAATAGAGGACAGAGGAATAATAATTTCGTGGACTAATCACATGTAATAATAAAATAAAATGCAGGAGTGGGTAACCATGAGTTAACTCTATTTTTTATGAAAATTATTTCGTAGAGAAATATAAGAATCAATAAACCTAAATAAAATACTCCACATTAGTACGTAAACACAACTTCATTGTTGCACAAGACATGACACTAGACGACAGAAAACCGCAATAAAAAGTGTTTTAAACTGAAGCTGATTGATTTTTCTATGATTTTGATCACCACCAATTTAAACTATAGCTGGTGAGTTTTTCATAAAACTTTTATTGTTTCATAGCTATTAGACGTGTCTCCTTCAAACGAATAAAATATATTCAGAATTCTCTTTAATTCTCTTATTTTTGTTTAATCTGTATATAATTAAACAAAAATGTTTATTTCAGATTTCTTACAATGGAAAAAAATTTAATATGTAAAGTAACTCGAAGAAATCTGCAATTTAGTTTGATGTGGCCAAAATTTTCAGAAGAACTTAATCCCAGTTACTGGCATTACATTCGAGTTTCAGTATTTTTATCCTCATGTGGAGCTCTAGTTCTGTCAATAATGATACACATTATTATGACCATAAAATGTAAGTACTTGCTTTTTTAGAAACTTTTAAATATCTGAAAATTTTAGATAAAATTTATCAGCATATAAGCGGAAATATTGCCGGATTTACCTCCTTGCTTGGCATGACATACATGAGTATAATTTATGCGCATCATCAACCAAAAATTGCCCTTTTACTTAAAGATTTATCTAATTTCCAAAAATATGGGAAACCTTCGGGTTTTGAAAAACTAAACGAAAGACTAAATTTCTGGGCACCCGTACCATTTATACACCCAACAATAGGTGTTCTTTTTTACAGTTTTACAAAATTCAAAAACAAATCCATTTGTGAACTGGCAAATGAAGGAAAAGTAGTGAAGGATATGTGTGGACTTATGTATTCATTTTGGATTCCATTCGACATAAACTATTTTCCAGTGATTCAAATAACTGCCTTGTGTGTAACGACGGTGGTAATAATGATAGCAAGGGTACGTACAGGAATTGCGTTTCAAGCATTGGAGATCACCCAGAATGTCATTTTAAGAATCAGACAACTAAATGTCATGATCGAAGACATTTTTAATACTAATGATAATCTCGTAACAAAAAGAAACAAATTAACGAAGTGTATTTTATATCATCAGGAAATAATAGAGTAAGTTTTGCATAAACGTGAAGCGTGCTTTCAGAAAATATGTTTCAGCATGTCTGTAAAGTTAAACAAGTATTTTTCTGGCATTATGGTAACACATTTTGTAATGACCTCCATAATTTGTGGTTGTATTGAAAAGGAAATCATTGATGTGAGAAAAATAAAATATATTGTTATAACATTTGTGTATATATATTTTCAGGGAATATATTACGCCGCAACTCATCTTATTTCTTGGATTCTTACTCTTTTTCTCGTATCGTTCGGAGGTCAAAAACTTATGGATGCAGTAATTGACCCATTTTTGATGTTTAAATTTTAATTTATTAAATCCAATTTTAGAGCCAATCTGTAACAGATACTCTTGTGGCAACAAACTGGTATTTGGGAGATATTAGTTTACAAAAAGACATTCTCTTCATGCTTCAAAGATCACAAAAATATATGTGCGTTTATGTAGGTTCATTTGGAATATTATCTTATGAATTCTTTCTGGGAGTATGTGGAAAAGTTAACAGTTCTTTATAAAATAAGTGCCTTTTCCATTTTTAGGTTATAAAAATGTCTTATTCCATCCTAGCTATGTTAAAGTCTTAATTTATTCTAAAACTGAATAAAAGAAGATACACTTTTTGTATGGTCGTCGTACTTCTTAGAAAATGGTATTTTGTACAACATTTTTTTGATAAAACTGACAGATTCTCAAGGTGGACTCATCAACTATAAATGTAGAAGTATCTTTTTTTATAAAATTTAAATAGCATTTGCCATGCAAATTTTGAAATGGTGGAATCAAATTGTTGGTGTTAAATTCCCATTATATTTGTCGATTTTCAGTCAATAAATTTGTTATTAGTTGAAAAGGAAATAGACGTTTAGAGCAAAAAATTAGTTTAAGATTATTTAGAAGAAGATCCTAACCTCTGAAATACAAACCCAGTCCTTAGAAAAATAAATTGTTTCACTCATTAATTTTTTCGCCCCGTTTAAGCAAGTCTAAAAAAAATATAAATATAAGACTTTCTGTGTTTTATGTAAGATTTAGCTTGCAAAATTGTGAAAAAATGTCTTAAGTGTTTTATACAATAGGTATACCTACAATGATTTTCTTTTTACATTATTTATTTTTTACCATGCATTTTTTTCCTAAATATTAATTATTGTTTCATGTTTCAGAAGTATGTTACTTAATAAATTTTAAATTGCATTTATCGTGCAAAGTTTTGAGGTGACGTTATCAAATTTTGTTGTTTTTGAAAAAACTATGGTACGGTACGCCTTAAAAACAGAGCACTCTGTACAGTTGAAAATAATTGAAATGTAGAGTCCTCAAAGAATTATAGAATTTTGCTCATTAACTTTTTTTTTAATATTTATTGAGACATCGAGGGACGCGTGTTTGTTAACTCACCCTGTATAATTTTTCCATCATGGTGGACATGTACTTCACTATCTGCTTGAATGTAACTGCCATGAAAATTAATTTACTTTATTATTGTATAAAGATTTTCAACCTGAAATAACAAATCTGAAAAAATACCAAGTATACCAAAATAAAATATTTCAAAAAAAGCCAACCATTGTTCGTTTGTTCTTAATAACCTATTTAAGAATAATCGCAGTACGTCGTTTAGAGTAATGTGCATTCCTTCAATAACACAATTTTAATCAATTCTCTAAAAGCAATTGCGTGACGTAAATGGGTTGTCACAGATAAGCACAACAAAAAGTTTATTCCACATCCGACATACAAGGAACTGAATTATTCAGGAAACCGAAAATTGAATGTTATATTCCAATGTAAATTTCTTAGAAAGACTTCATGAACTTCCCAGAATGCATAACAATTCGGGTTTTCATCAGTCGACCGAAAGTTCAGCTTTCAAATAGTTCTACGCTTTTTAAATAGTGTTTAATGTATTAAATATAAAATTTTAAAAGCTTCGCACGGTGGACACAGTTTATTTTTGGAAGTAAGAAATGGTATGCCATATGAACAACAGTTTCAAGGATAAGATAAAAATTGCTGCTGTGACCCGAAAAATTCTTCAGTACAGTTTATTATGGCCTAAAGATGGCACAGAACTGAATCCAGGACTCGAATACAAGCTAAAAGTTTTTGGTTTCTTTCTTATAACAGGTACAATGTCTCTGTTGAATACTATACATTTTCTACTAGTAATCAAAAGTATGTTTTCTGAAAATAAGTACTATGCATTCAACTGCTAAATTAATTTCCAGATAAAGAAGGTTTAGATATAGAAGAAGTTGCTGTCATTATAGCCACTTATGGAACCTATTATATGGTTTGTGCTTATATTAATAATCAACACAATCTGGCACTTCTTTTACATGATTTGTCAGATTTTAAAAAATTTGGCAGACCTCCAGGATTTGATAAAAAGAATAAACAATTGAACTTTTATTCACAGCTAATAGTTCTATATTCATTACTGGCTGTAGGATTCTACGCTTATATGAGATATCTTGATAGAGACACCTGTAGAGCATCTCATGCTGCGAAAAAGACAAACGGAAATTTCTGTGGATTGATAACACCCCTTTGGATTCCTGTCAAAACTGATTACTTTCCAGTATTTCAGCTTTTATTTATCTATGTTTTTATTGCTGTTCACATGCTTGTAAAAATGGGCATGCCTATATCTTTTAGTGCTCTAGAAATAGCCCACCACATTATACTAAGGATAAATCATTTAAAAGACATGATAATAGAGTGTCTAAAGAACAAAAATGATGAAGAGAGAAGTGCAAAACTAAAAATATGCATATTGTACCATAACGAAATCTTAAAGTAAGTTGACCCGAATTTTTTACGATAATCTTTACGCCGAATTTTCTTTTAGTTTAACAGCGAGGTTAGATAAAACATTTTATCATTGTATGTTTGGACATTTTGCTCTAACTGGAGCAATTTGTGCGGTCCTGGAAAAACAAATTGTGGATGTAAAAACAACAAAACTAGTAAGTAAATACAAATAGACTCAAAATTTTCGTTTTTAGGGTTACAATGTATATGCAGCTGTTGTTCATTTTGCTGGATGGATTTTGGCACTTCTTTTAGGATGCGTTGGAGGACAACACCTTCTGGATGCAGTAAAGCATAGTTTTTAGTGAGACTGTAGATACATCGATTTTTTATAGAGCGAGATTATACCAGGAGCTATATGGAGTTCAAATTGGTACATGATGCCCGCAAAAGTACAGAAAGATGTACTTTTTATGCTTGTAAACTCGCAAAACAAGTTTTTCATCAGAACCGGCCCGTTTGGTATACTGTGTTTACCACTTTTTGTTTCGGTAACATATTAATATTTGAGTAATATGTGTGAATTTGTGTGTTTTTTGTTAAAATTGCAGGTGCTAAAAGCATCATATTCAATTCTTTGTATGTTTTGATGGACATTACCAGTGTATGGAGTGTGATATTTGGTAGATAATACTTATAATTTACAAAAATGTGATATTATAAAATTGCTAACAGGTGAACAGAATAAGCCACCAAAGCACCTAAAATTTGTGTAAATATCTATTTTAATTTATATCCTTTCGTATGCAGTGATTATAAAAAAGTCAATGGCAAAATTCAGTCTTTGCAGTTTTGTCCAAGATTGTAAAAAATAATGGAATTGCATAAACATTTAAATACATACATGATGTCATTAATAATAATAAATAAAATTGGTTTCCGTATCAAATATATTTCTCATATCTTAAATTGAACTTTACAACACATAAAATCGTTTGACCTGTTTAATTGTGCAAACGTCTTCTCATCTGAACATTTCTTTATCTAACTAAGTACACGTTTCAAGAAATATTATTGCGCAACTGAAAAGTATGCATGTATATATACGTATACGCATACAGAAAAAACTAATAAGCGTTTATAATGTTTATGGAAAGATGGACTCCAGAGCTAAAATTGATACAAATTCGTTCTTTACTTTATAAATAATACGATTTAATGATTTAAAATCGTTCCATATTATCATAGGCGCAAAAATATTTTTAAACTAAATAAATTTTCTTCATACTAAACAAAATTTCATAAATTTATGATGCTTTCGTATTACTATCACTGTATAACAACAAATTTTTATTTTCTAAACTAGTTCCTAAAACTAAATAATGTAGTCACTATCTTGTATATTGCTTCTGATCCACTCGTCAAATCTCTTTAACATATCTGTCGTCATTGTGGTTTTGTGATCTCCAGCTTTCCCGGATCTCATAAATCTTCCGTCAAAGTCGTCGGTTAATTTAAGTTTTTTGTTAATTTCACCAAGAAATTCTTTATTTACAGCGTTATTTTTGCTCATGGACTCAAAACTAAGGTGTTTGCTCAGAATTTTCACTTGTTGTTCACTCAAAGAACGACCCAAAAATTTAGTCACTTGTCGAATAACTCCACTTATGTCATTCTTCATGTCTTCGTATTTTATAAAGAGTACGTTTGGGGAATTTCGTAAATTCCAGAATGGCAAAACGTGTTTCCAGAAAGGTGCATACATCACTAAAATTTAACAAAGGATAAGTATATGACTTCATAAAATATTACAGATATTTTCGCTTAACAATGTTACCTTTTCCAGCCAAAAATAATTCACAGAATTCTTCAAAGTTACCCTTAAATCCTTCTATTAACCTCGAATGGTGGTAATAAGAAATGCATGCGTCTCTAGAGTCACGGGCTACATAAATTATCTAAACAAACCTTGCTAATGTGTTGTCACCGTAAAAACATTATATTTTAAGTATTATGTGTTGTACCTTTGGTTTTTTTACACCATCTTTTATCTGCATTGGTAACAAGTCTAAAGGTAAGTGCGTTTTGACAACCAATGGGCTCGGTAAACTTTTATAATAACCAATAGAATCATGTAAGAATGGTGGAAGATTATTTTCTTCCGGATTCTTTTCGTGCCACTCTCTGTCGTCATAGATAATTGAAAACCTAGGTGTATATGTTTAATAAACATCCATGCAAAACTTGGTTCTACTTACTCTACAAACGGACTACGGTAGTCTAAAGACACGTTGCCACCTTCAAAGTCAAGATTGTTTAAGATCATCCACACCATTTCTTGAGTCCATGTTGTTCCTTTTATGGTTTTAGTTTTGCAAAAATATGAGTAATTTTAGTCTTACCGACTTTGGGAAACGTACAAATCCAGACATCATTTTCGCTTACTTCCAAGTTATCTAATTCTTGTTTCAGATCGCCGTATCTTTCAGAAAGTGTAAAACCATTAACTGTTATGTATCTTTTTCTAAAGATATTTGTAAATTTTTCTTGCTGAAGTTTGTCTAGTTCCATGTTAAAATTGTCCAAAAATAATAACTAGTTGAAACAATTCAACAATCCTTTTATACACGTCGTACAAGTGTTTACCAACTACGATGTTGTAGTGCCATATCAAGGTATTAAATACGCGCAAATAATGACACAGAGAGCAGCATCATTAAAATTAATGTGAACAACAACCATATTTTGATAATCGTTGCATTAAAAATACAAGGCCAAGGGATTTGAGTGTGAGATGCGTTACATGTATACGAAAATTTACTTCACCAAAAACAAACATTGATAACAGGATAATAATTAAGCTTTAATCAAACAACTAAAAGATAATTTAATTTAAAAGAAGTTTTTAATATAAATATTGGAGGTATTTTACGTCAACTGATCGGTCAATTTATGACTTCATCAAATTGTTGGTGGGGATGATCAGACAAAATTTGTTTAACGTTTTACCCTCTACATGATATTCCTAAAACATTTATATAAATCGATAACTATCAGTCCAGTAGTTTCGGAGATTATGAGACAGTCAAACAGAAAAGAGAAACTGATTTTTTCAGACACTACGTGTCATGAAACATCTTTAGCTTTCTGCCAGCCCGCCTTTGCAGAAAGTTAAAACTACTGACTATAATTGTGTCATTTGGCAGGCTTGACTTACAATTAGTCCAAGAGTAGATCTATTTTCTGCAGCCCTTGATTTGACGATCTCAGTATCTTCATTCTCCTATGACGGAGTGCTGCAGGTGCTAGGAATGTATCACTTGCTGTGATTAGATCTAGTGTACCTAGATAATAATTATGAGTAAGGCAATGAGCGTGATTCATTTTTTCCACGGCCTATTTAAAAGAAATTTTATTTTAATGTTGTCAATTTGACATTCATAACCGTTCGTCAAGTAGAAATTTGAACGATGACCGGCTGCAGAGTGAAAGGTTGTCAAAATAGATCTGAGAATATTCCACAAAAGCCATATTTTCGTGCACTATGGTTAAAAAACTTGAACATTGCGCCGAGGAAATATGGACGAGTTAGCGACCAACATTTCTGTGAAGATCAATGGGAAATAAGTATATCGCCAAAAATTAAAGAAAAATGCTGTTCCTTCAATTTTTCCCTATGCAACGGAGAGTAATAGTTCAAATAGTGAGCTCTCTAGTGAATATTTTCAGTTTGAATCTCCCCTGTCAAATAATTCTCTTTCTTCTCAACGTCTCTGACCTGAATTTGTTTCGTCTAAGCGTGTAAGCGTGCTACAATGTGGCATAAAATTTCAATTAATCTCGCTGTGTGTTGCTTGTATGGAAAGATTTTGTGTAGAAATCGTTACCGCAAAGTTTCTCGCGAGAAAATAAAGTTAACTCGAATTAACCATAACAAAAAATTCATTAATACTGCTAAAAACAAATGTAAAGCTATGTGGACAGTAACAAATGAATCTCGCAATAATCTTGGCTCCAACAATAGCTATAGCAAGCAAGCCTGTGATATATCTAGTGATAATTTTTTAATGATTACTTTACGAATGTTGCACCATGCTTAATTAATGATCTTCCTACAGACTTTGAAAACCCTATACAATTAATGTCCGATAATTCCAAATTTATGTTTTTGTGTTCTACTAATGCTTTTGAATTCACTGAAGTATCAATGGTGCAGGTCAGAGACGTAATAAACGATTTAAAGAACTCCAACTGCAAAGATGTAGATAATCTAAACGTCAATCTTATTAATAAGACTATTAGATCTCATCATCTCTCCGCTCACTAGACTTGTCAATCTGTGTATCAAAGCTTCCGTTTTTCCTGACTGTCTAAAAGTTGCCTTTGTTATTCCTATTTACAAAAAAGGGAATGTTAATGATGCGAACAACTACAAGCCCATCTCCATCCTGCCAGTCTTTTCCAAAGTACTGGAGAAACTTTTATACATACAGTTAAGAATTTTTTTTGAAAATAATCAACTGTTTGCTCACTCCCAGTTTGGTTTTCGTAAAGGACGAAGCACTACTGACGCTGCACTATCTCTAACAAACACAATATTGCAATGCTTTGAGAAACATGAATTTGGAGTCATCAATCTTCTTGATCTGATCAAAGCTTTTGACTGTGTCTCCAATGACATCTTGTTGACAAAATTACATATGTATAATATCAGTCCCCATAGCTGTAGCCTACTTTCTTCTTTCCTCTTCGGACGCCACCAGTTAGTTAAAGAAGGTGATTCAATTTCCGGACTCCTTCCAATAAAAATTGGAGTGCGCCAAGGATCTGTTCTTGGGCCACTCCTGTTTTTAATCTTTATAAATGATTTTCCTTTATATTTACAGGAGAATAGTGTCACGACCGGGTCGGGGGAGAGATTGGTAGAGCTAAGGATAATTACCCGATCCGACGTTAAGAATAAAAATCCCAAATACATTAAATAAACTAAATATATTTCAACTTACATTACAAATTCCATCCTTAGGGGGTACGGTGCGTCACTTCACTTCTCTCACTTTTTCCTTCCCCTGTCCCTAGTTAGTACCGACTGCCCCTTTCGTCAGTCCGCACTCCCCCCACCTAAGCTTCCGTAATGCCAGCAAAAAGAGGTTTTTGCTGACATCCCACAAGCATGACATGAGGCAATCTTTACATAACTAGGGCAACTAGCAGTTTCTATTGTCACGGAACTGCTAGTTGCCCTAGTTATGTAAAGATTGCCTCATGCCATGCTTGTGGGATGTCAGCAAAAACCTCTTTTTGCTGGCATTACGGAAGCTTAGGTGGGGGGCAGTGCGGACTGACGAAAGGGGGCAGTCGGTACTAACTAGGGACAGGGGGAAGGAAAAAAGTGAGAGAAGTGAAGTGACGCACCGTACCCCCTAAGGATGGAATTTGTAATGTAAGTTGAAATATATTTAGTTTATTTAATGTATTTGGGATTTTTATTCTTAACGTCGGATCGGGTAATTATCCTTAGCTCTACCAATCTCTTCCCCCCGGACCCGGTCGTGACAATATTTTAGAGACACAATCAAAGCTTTTGACTGTGTCTCCAATGACATCTTGTTGACAAAATTACATATGTATAATATCAGTCCCCATAGCTGTAGCCTACTTTCTTCTTTCCTCTTCGGACGCCACCAGTTAGTTAAAGAAGGTGATTCAATTTCCGGACTCCTTCCAATAAAAATTGGAGTGCGCCAAGGATCTGTTCTTGGGCCACTCCTGTTTTTAATCTTTATAAATGATTTTCCTTTATATTTACAGGAGAATAGTATATTATTTGCCGATGATACGATTATAGTGAGCACTGGTACTAACGTCAATAACGTAATTCATAGACATAAAGAGACACAGTCAAGAGCAGAAGCTTGGTTTACAGCTAATAGATTGCTTCTAAATAAAACCAAAACGGTTGAAATGTTATTCTCATTGAAAGAACATGATTTCCACGACGATATATTGATAACCATCTTCAATGGAACTGGCATGAAGAAATGACCGCCAAAACTATTTTTAAAAATATATTTCTACTGAGAAACCTCAGCAGCAAAGTTCCTACCGATTTCTTAAAAAATGCCTACTTTGCTCTCTGTCAGAGTCATTTTACTTACGGGCTAATAGTTTAGGGTCATTCTCCAATAAGGCATAGATTTTTCAATCTCCAGCGTAAGGCAGTTAGGATTATTGCGGGACTTGGTTACAGAGAAGATTGCAGAGAGAAATTTATTGAACTTAAAATTCTTACTCTAACCTCACTATATATATTTCATTGTCTTATTTTTATAAAAAAAAATTTAAATTTTTCTCTTCATTAAAAGAAGAGAAGAGTAGATAAGTCGCTGTGACAGTGGTCTTCGTTTTTACTAAGTTTGGTCGGGTTGTTCTTGGCGTATATTTTTGAATTTAGTGCCATTTTGTGTGTTTTTGGCCAATCATTTCAGTGGTATAAGTGACTTTTTCAACAATTCAGTTATTTTCGAGTAATTGAACGAAATAATTTATTCGGCGTTTTTTTCCTGGTGCTGGCTTCGTTTTTGTGTGTGCGATACACAGAACTGTGCGGTGTGCAGGTGTATTGTGTGAATACTCCTACTAATATAGTAATTATACACATTACTGCGACAAAATATATAAACAAAATATATAAATAAATAAAAAAAAACAATTTCACAAGAGAATCCCTATCAGGGGACAGATGTAGCTGATAGCATCTGCCCACCTACATATGTGAAAAACCTGAATACATTTTTATAAATCGGTTTCTTTTGTCAGTAACTGATAAAACCTCGAAATGAGTATTTCAAATGCAGACCTTCTCAACGAAATTCGTCAATTACGTGAGGATCTAAATCACAAAATTGATCAGGCTGAATCTAGTATATTGTCCAACGTAAGTAGGCAGTTATTAAGAGAAAACGAGTACTTAAAAAATAAAATTAAGTATCTAGAAAAAGCAAACAAAAGAAACAATATCATCATCTTTGGATTGGAAGTGACAAATGAACGTTTACCCTCACCGGAACTAGCATCCTTTGTATGTGAGAAATTAAAGGAGTTTCTACACATTCAAATTGGCATTTCTGACATCTTAATAGGAAAAAACCAAACCAAAAGACCGGTAATTATTGAATTTATCTCACGTATTAAAAAATATGAAGTACTCCAAGCTCGCATAAATTTGAAAGGCTCGAGGATTTATATAAATAACGATTTAACGACGGATGAACTTAAGGAATACAAAATTTTAAGAACCCATCTTAGTTTGGCTAAACAAAAGAAACTGAAAGCTTATATTAAAGGAAATAAGTTATATGTTAATGATGATGTATATACTGCAAATGATTTAGAAGAAACTGAACAACCGGAGATTTTTATAAAGTCAAAAAGTACTCCGCTAACAACGACACCAGATAGAACGGTAAATATTGATGAAGTATTTCCGACCAAAAACAATTTAAACATTGAAAACAATGTCACTAACTTTTCACCTAATATAGTTACAGTTCCCACAAGCCTGATTAAGACAGATTCAAAACAAATTCAAAAAAAGATACTACGTAGTAATTCAAATAAAGGGTCAAAAATGTAGTAACAGTCAAACTTATTGGTAATGTCTTAAATTGGACTGATTCTGCTCGAAT